GGTGGAAAGCGGAGGGGGGAAGGGGAAGGGGGGATGAAAGAGAATAGGAGAAAGTGGAAAGTGGCTAGAGAAGGGGGGGCAGAAAACTTGAAATGCAATTTATATTTAGCGCCTTACCGTATGTGATTGCGCCAATAGAGAGGTTGGACAAAGTGCTTGAAGAAAGAAAAAAAAAAAAAGAAATACTTTTTTTTTTTTTTTTTAAAGCAGTAGTAGCAATTGGTGGCAGACTGTTTTGTACAAAACGAGCGTGGGTGCGCATAAATTTCTGATGTTTTTTTTTTTTGTTCTTCTTGTTATTGTCTTTTCCACATTTCCTCTCCTAGTTTCTTCTCTCCAATTTTTTTTTTTTTTTTCATTTATTCGGTTTATTCATTTGTTTGTTCATTAGTTCAGTTATTTACTTATATATTTATTTGTTTATTTATTTATTTGTCTGTCTATTTATTTATTTATCTATTTATTTATTTGTTTACTCATTCGCTCACTCACTCACTCACTCACTCAATGATTCATTCGTTTTATTTTTATTCCGGTTATTATTTCAATTTTTAGTTCCATTTTGTTATTCGTCCACTAAAAATTTTTTTTTTTGCGTCTTCTAGAAAACCAGGCAGGCGAAATTATCAGCAGAGCGATTGTGTTGATTCAACGGGTGTGCTATGGGTTGATGTTGTGTTACTGACTCCCTCTATCATCAACATCTTCATCATCGCTGTTGATGTTGATGTTGTTGGTGTTACTTCAGCTCCTGGTGTTGTTTCTGTTTAAACTCCATCTGCTATTGGTATCACCATCGTTGTCATTGTCACTAAACATATTTAGTGGTGGCTTTTGTTCATTTGAAGTACTTGTGCTAATTTTTTTCTTCTTTGTGTGCATGTATTCTTTCCTAAATTTATGGAATTCTGTGGATTGTGTAAAATACTGCCATTTGGGACTGGCAATAATTTGAATGGTAATGACAACGATGGCTTATGATGGTGGTGGTGGGGGTTTGCGGTAATGGTGGTAGTAGTAGCGATAGTGACAGTGGACGCCGATGATGATGGTAACAGTGGTGACTGTAAAGATGACGGTGTGATTCTGTGACAGTCGCTGTTCCCATTGTTATTACAAAAATTTGCTATTTTTCATTTTCGACAGCTTTTTTTTTTTTTTTTTTTTTTTTTTTTTTTTTT